CGAACTCTGTAACTCTACCCCTCATGGGTTCTAACTGGATACTCTCACTCATCACATACTCAAAAGCATAACACATATAACAACGAGTCCTAGGCTAAGGCATCACAAATCAGGCTACTCTAGTCCTAACATATGAAATACCTAGCCTGTCTCTAGCATGTAATAATATCTCATAAAGTGCATCATAAATATCTCATAACACAAAAATAAGGGTATTTTGGGAAATCACCGTTCGGGCTCTGGCTGATTGCACACTGCTCTTTCTTGTTTTCTCTTTGAACTCTTATTCATTTTTAGAAAATTATTTCCTTAAAACTTTTCTTACTTCCTCAGTTTGAGTCCAGATTTACCCGAAGGCGCATCCGAATCCCTCAAACCAAGGCTCTGATACCAACTTGTAACACCGTGAATTTCAAAACAATTTTTCATTTAAAATAATCGTAAATTCTTAGAAACACTTGTTTAAAATCTCATTTATAAACGAATTACAAAAACAAAACTCCTTTTTCACTTGCATAGAAAACCAGGATCCTCCAAAACATGACTCTTTCTCTGGTGTGTACAATCAAGCCGGTGCCGTCCCGTGATACTGAAAGAAACCTGAAAAACAACACAACACAAAACACTGTAAGCACGAAGCTTAGTGAGTTCCCCAAAATACCACACATAACACATATTAGCCACTCGAGGCTATAACTCTGTGGGTCCGTGCACCCAAACTCTGTGAACCCTCAGGTTCTAACTCTGGGAACCTTCCGGTTCCAACTCTAAAAACATGCACAGCATAAATCACGTAGAAATAATGCAGTACAATACATCACGTACATATAGCATACAAATACTCTGATCACATAACTCTGGTTACCTACTCAAGGTAAAGTATAGTGAGAAGACTCACCTGGCAAACAGAAAGCAGATATCCCCACACTTGAATCTCGAACCCGCCACCGCCTAACACGTAAGGCAAATACTCTCATGAATATAACTCTCGAGACTAGAATCAACCCTCTCATGGCACCCTCTTAAGGGTAAAAGACTATTTTACCCCTCTCTTGGCCCAAAGGCCACATCGCTGACTAAGCCTTAAAAGTCAACGGTCAACTCTTGGTCCAAGTCAAAGTCCTCCGTCAAAGTCAACCCTCCTGGTTGACCCTGCTCGCCGAGTCAACCCGTCGACTCGTCGAGCTCCCATGCTCAGAACTTCCCCAATCTGCGACTCAACTCGCCGAGTCACCCCGAGACTCGCCGAGTCCCACAACTCTGAGTCCACTCGCACACAACTCACCGAGTCATCCCTCGACTCACCGATTCTCGACTCAACCAGAGAATATCGGGACCTTCGACAAGACTCGTCGAGTCCAAGAACAGACTCGCCGAGTCTACGGCTATCTTCAACCTACTCGCCGAGTTGTTCATACAACTCGCCGAGTTCCAGGCCATCTTCATCCAACTCGTCGAGTACACCCATGTGACTCGCCGAGTACCACCGTTCTGAATCCATTCAGAAGCATTCCAGCCATGCAATTGCTCCAAAACATAGATCTAGTCTCCTACCACTCATCCATCACGTAAAGTGGCAAACTTTACGTGAATCCAAGGAGATCTAATCCGTTTGCACATTGGGGCTAGGGTTTGGGACATGTAAGCTTCACTAAACACTCCAATACAGGGACTTTCATGCACTCTAGACCTTCTCCCTTCTAGATCTGAGGTAGCAACCTCAGATCTAACCTATAAACTCCAATACATCCAAAGATATGATCTCCAACACCCCCAAAATGATGCATCTAAGAAATAGCAGCTCAAAAAAACGAGATATTACCTCAAAGGAATGCCCCAAAAGAAATGAGACTCGAATCCAAACAAAGCCCCTTGCTCCAAGCCTTCAATCTCCCAAAATTCCTTCACAAATACATTCTCCAAGCTCCAATCCATTCAACAATGGTGCTTCTTCGTGATTTAGGGTTTTCTGGGGCTCAAGGGGTGATAAATAGGCTGGGAGGGAAATATAATGATCTTTATATAAGGCTCAACCCCGAGAATTAGGGTTTTCTCCACACAGCGCCTACTCGCCGAGTCCATTACACTGACTCGCCGAGTCGGCCACTTAACACGCGACCAAGTCGCGACTCTACTCGCCGAGTCCATCCATGGACTCGCCGAGTCACTCTTTCACAACTTACTCTTTTAGGCCCTTAAACTCTACTATTGATATTTCAGGATGTTACAGTAATACTGCCATTTTCTTATAATTCTATAAAAATTAAACTTTTAACTTTATAATATTATAAGGGTGTATTTTAAACATGTAAAATACTATGGTTCTAGAATTTAAGATTTCAAAATTAAACTTTTTAATCAAATTTTAAATTATAAAACCAAAGGGTGTATTTTCAAAACATTTCAAAAATACTAGATTAAATTTTAGATAATTAAATTAATAAATTAATTTTGTCTTTATCTTAAAATTTGACCAAATCAATTAATTTGATAAGGATATTCATTTACTTTTCAGAAAATTCAATTTTAAGCAGTTAAAACGAATTATGGTAATTATCCTAATCAAATCAAGATATCAAAATCCTAAAATTAGGCATCTAACAAGTTAACTTGTCGAGTCAGGTAATGAACTCGTCGAGTTTAGCCAACTCGTTGAGTTCTTCTATGAACTCGTCGAGATTAATGAACAGATTAACGAATTTATTCCCACCTTCTTTGGAGAATTCACATATGCGTCAAATTCAACTGAAAAACATCCTAAGCTCTAATACCACTAATGGGTTTTGAACAAAACTACATCCTATGTGTTCATGGAATCCTAATTACTTTGGATCTAAGTTTTTCACTAGTTGAACATGAAAATTGAATACCAAAGCAAAACCCTAGTAGATCCTTTACTCTTGAAAGTTTTTTGCCTTAAGTATTGCACCTCTATTGGCTTATAAACACCACTAGAAAAAGGATGAGAGTAGAAAGGAAGGAAGAGAACCAAATTTCGGCTAGGGTTATCATAGAGAAAGTAGTGGCCAAAATCCCTAAGTAGTGGGGTCTTTATATAGATGTGGGCTGCTAGGGTTTGTTAGATGAAACCCTAATTTCCTGATTAAGGCTTAAGCAGCCCACTAACGATTATTAAAGAGCCTTGGATGAAATCTATAGGGCCTCCCTATAGATTTCGTCCACTCCATTCGAAGGATTCCAATACCCCGGTTTCACAACTAACATTGATTTTCAAAATGGCCCCTATTCCTTTAATCAGTTCCTTTAATCCTAAAAATAATTCCAAATGAATATCTGATTAAACACTAATAAAGTAACATGATTTATATTTAATATATTTTTTCATAATACATTAATAAATGAATTTATTAATCCAAATTACAAATTCAACCTCTCTCTCCAAAAGTCATCATGTCAAGTTGTTAGGGTGAAGGCAACCCAAAAGGACCATGCTACTATCAAATCAAGTACATACCAATTGTAGTTATGGGCTTCGACACCGAACCCAACAATATTACCATAGTGAAAGTTTGATGGAACTCTTTACGAGGACCTGAATTTACTTGCGAACGTGAAGATCAGATGAAACAAAAATACCCCACTACTAGAAAATAGACCTTTAATGATGCGCTTTTTACGACACGCGCTGATTAACGATACTCAATAGGACGTCCCCTTAAAATAGTGTTATCTCTCCATAAAATTTAAGGATTTACGTCACACATTATTGCGTGCCCTAATTTAGTGTCTCAAGAAAAAAATTAGAAACACAGAGGGCGCTTTATCTTAAACGCGCGTCGTCTGTACATGTCGCTTTATAATTTTAATGAAACGCGCTTTTAGTTAATGAAGGGGGAAACGAAATCCCCAAAATTTTGAAAACCCGCCTTGTTTTTTCTATCTTCTATCTATTTTTCATCCTTGCAATCCACTTTCCCCTCTTTGATACTCTCTCCTCTAGATCTCCCTTCATTCTCTACCTCCTGTCTCTCTGTAAACCTTGAAGGTGAATCGTAATTGATCTGCGAGGTCTCCTTCTTTTTCTTTGTTTTCTCAGGTATAACATCATCCTAATCCATTAAACCCTTTCATTTTTCATTAAAAAAACCCTAATTGACTTGGCAAGTTCATGAACCGGATGTAGCACATTCCAAACTGGGGATTTAACCAAACCCGGTAAAGCCATTGATGGAATCTTTGGATCCGGTCAACAAGGACTCTCTATAATCGCGCAACTTTCTTCACAAGGGATCGCTCTAGGTCTTCAATCTATCAATCTACAATGTCCACTGTCAAGTTACATCGAATCAAGGTCTAGGGTTTCAAATGCTTCAAGTTCTTCCCAAATAATTTCCCCTCTCAAGACAATTTTCCTCGATCGTATCTTTATGGCGATGATTCTCTCTCGATCGGATCGAAGATCGCTCACTCTCTCCTTAGATCTCCATGTGAGTTTGATCCCCCCTCTCTGTAACAGCCTCGCTTCCTTCCAAAAATCCAAGACCATTCCCTCTCGATCGTATCTTTATGGCGAAATTTAGACACAATAATCTCAACATAAAATCCGTAACTGAACTCCTCTTCACCTCTACCCTACTCCATCTACAACGACTCCTTAAATTTAGAAACCCTAGTCCAGTTGCGCCTCTAGTCAAATCAGGTACCTATCTATCTGCTTTCTGAATTCTCCTGGATTGGAAATTTCTTGATACTTTGCTAGCTTTTAAACAAACAAAAATCAGTTTTTCTCTCAATAATCTGTTGAATTTTTCATTGGTGTTCCCCTTACTGGTTTCGATAACCTCTCTAATCTGTGAGGTTTGTGTTTACTTTCTTGCCCTCCCTCTCTCTAAGAAGAAAACGCAGCCTCGTCGCCTTCAATCACCCAACGACATAGGTGAAACTCAAACTTCTCAGACCAAAAGAAATATTGTACGAAAGAAAAGCTGTCCATTAATGGAAGAAGTGCAAGGGGGTTGCTTATTAGTGTTGTTGTGAACATGAGACCTGATTTATTTAAGGCTACTGTAGCTGGAGTACCATTTGTAGATGTTGTGACTACAATGCTTGGTCCAACTATTCCTCTTACAACTGCAGAATGGGAGGTGATTTATATATAATATTTTTTTGTTTTGGAAACTCAAAGCAGGATGCTATGATAATATTAGTATGTTTCTTTCTAAATGTGAATGACTTTCTCTATTGCAGGAATGGGGTGATCCTCGGAAAGAAGAGTTCTACTTTTACATGAAATCATATTCACCAGTTGACAATGTGCGTGCCAATGTATCTTGTTTCAGTTTAACTGACATAAATCCATCTGACAGATCATCAAATGAAAATGTTGAAGTTAATTACTGATGGGTGTCTATTTTGAATAGGTAAAAGCTTAGAATTATCCAACCATAGTTGTTACTGCTGGAATAATGGTAGGTTGTCAAGAGTGATATTCAGGATGTGATTGATAAAGATGGTGAGGGAATCACTATGGTCACAAAAAAAGCTGGAAATCCAGGGACTGCTACTGTGAAGGGGTACGGTACAGGTGATATTAATCCCAATGTTTCTGGAAGCAAAGGTTGTAATTGGAATGGAGGGAATAACAAAAGAGGAAGCTATAATAGTGTTAATAAAGGTAATAAAGGTTGGAATAACAGAAGTCATAGTGGGAATTGGAATAGGGGGAGTGTTAGCCATTGGAATCATCAAAAGAAACAGGAGTTTGTTGCTGCAAATAATAAATCTTTCATTGTAGATAAGCAGGGGCATAATGGGAAAGAGAGTGTGGATTCTAGGAAAAAAGAGGAAAAAGTTGAGAACGGAAAGGATTTTAAGGGTAGCCAAATTATAAATCTTTCATTGTAGATAAGCAAGGGCAGTCTTCTCCTGATTCTATGGAAAAGGTTGTCACATAATCATCTTTGTGATTGTATATTGATGATTATAGATTGGTGGCTTTGAGAATCTAACAATAACTTTAACTTTTTTTTTTCTTGCAGATATCAGTAGAATCCTGTCCTGCTTCTGATTTGTTAGTCAATAATTCTGACAGTGGTCAAACTGAGGCTATAGAATCTAAGTGTGATACCAGGGTGAATTCCAATCTTGGGAACCATGATTGTTTAAATCCTATGAATGACATCCTTGGTACCATGTAAGTTTGAAAATTTAATCATTGCAATTTACTAAGTATTAAAATAAGAAGGTTGGATGTTTTACATTGTGATGTTTTTTTATTTATTGTTTAGATGATTTGATTTCAAAGGTGATCAAGGTTCTTCTAGAAGAGATTGCGACACTAAGAAAATGAAACCGGGATGCTGTGTTGGTGAGCCAATATCTTTCTGAGCTTAGAGAAGTCAAGAAACAGGGGAGAAAAGAGAGAAGGCACAAGGAAGCCCAGAATGTGCTTGCAGCTGCAACTACTGCTGCTGAAGCTTCTTCCAACCTTTCATCTTTCAGGAAAGATACACTTGAAGAATCCGCTCACCATGAGGTAGTTGACTCTCATTTTGTTAGATAACATTTTTTAGGGGTAATTTCATCATTAAAAACCGTTCTTATAATGTGATTTCTCTAAAAACTATAATTTCAGGGTGTTGAAAGTCCGTGCACACAGTGAATCTTGTAGAGCTGTTAGATTTATCAATGAAGGACTTGGTAATGAACCAACATTGTTTATACTTTATATACTCTTGAACCATGTAATTTACTTTTTACCCTCAGTAGCAACATAGTTGTTGTTTCTTTAAACTTGATTTTGAATGTGTTTTTGTCATGAGTGATCCTCACTGGTTCTCCAGATTGTTCTACTCTTGCAATTGATATTGAAACAGGATCTCCAGTTAGTTATGGATGGATGTTCATACAATTAGGTATTATTTTCAATATTCATACAGTTAGTTATGGATGGATGTTCCAGGTGGGGGCAGATGTGCCTACGCAAATCTTTAAGATGTCTCCTCGTTGATCGTATCTTTGTGAGGATGGGTGCAAAAGACCATATTATGGCAGGCAATGTGATTTTTATGATGCAAAGAGAGAGCTTCTGTGAATAGGTGGGGGTAGATATTACTTCATAAATTATTGTTTTTTCTATATATATATATATATATATATATATATATATATATATATATATATATATATATATATATATATATATATCTAATATTAATTAACAAGTTTGACTTGTCAACACGTATAGAATGCAAATGATCCCACAAATACATTGTAGGTGAGGGTATAAAATGTTTAATTACCTTTTTACCCTTGAGGCTCGGGTTTAAATATTTACACAATGTTTTTACAGCTGTGAGAGGGTATGGTTTATCCTACCCGTCATCTTCAGCGGTCCGCGTCCGGTTTTTACTAAATACACCTAGCATGGTGGCTCTTGACCTGGACACCACTCTAAAAGGGCTTTTCCAAAAAAAAAATTGACCATCTTGAAAATATTCCAAAACCACAGGGTGGAAATATCTCTGTAATTACATGTGATTTATCAGTAAGTATAATCTTTAATTTTAATCCATTCAAATATGTGACATGGTTTTTTTTTTGTTTATTTATATTTATACTCATGTATATAATGTATAAAAAAATTACATAAATAGGAATTATGTAAAGATTGGTTATCAATTTTAATGATTTTTACTTCTGCACGATCTTCAATTAACATAAGACATTTGGAGAAAGCAACAGTGTCTACTGGAAAAGAAGGCTTGTTATCTGAAGGGAATGGTCTACTAGAAAAGAAGGCTTGTAACATTTTTGGTTCTTGTTCCCGACTTTACTTGGAACAGGGACCGAAAGTGTAACTTACTCTAAATTTTATTTTATCTTTTGAAGGGAAATTTACTGAATATTGATTGGTTGATGCAGTAAACTAGAATTGGTCGAGATGCAGTTTTATATGTTGAGTCGCTCATTGAGTCAATCATGGGAGGATTGGAAGGGCTAATCAACATTCTTGATTCTGAAGGAGGTTTTGGCTCTTTGGAGACACATGTTCTTACTATTTTATCAATTTCCTTAAAAAGTTACCAAATTCATATATTAAATTTCATAAAGCTAACTTAATTGCTTTTTTTAAATCCTAGCTTCTACCAGAAGTCAGCTGAAACTACAAATGGCTTTTGATGGGCAGGAAAGATATATGAAGGTATGATCAATATTGTAATTCAGTTTCTGTAACTTTTATTATGTAATCTCTTAAGTCTTAATACCCATTATTCCTTATGCATGTAGAGATCTTGGGAGCCAAGTGATAAAGCTGATCTTCACTTTGTCTACAAAGAAGTTGAAGGAGTATCAACTCAATGGGATGATATTCAAAGAAAACTCAGGAACTTACCTCCCAAACCCTCTGCCTTCAAACCTGATCCCTTCACTCCTGCAGAAGACGAAGATTCCAAACCTAAAACCAAATCTCAGATCAATAACAAGACAGAAGAACTTAAAGATTTAGAAGATGATCTTGATGATAGTTGTTTCCTCGAAGAATACAAGTACCATCAACTCCCTTAATCCTAATATCATTTTATGAGGGTATTAAATTTCATGTGACATTTTCATGGTTTCATTTTCTTTTGTGTTCTTGAAGCAGAAAGAGGTTAGCAGAGATGAAGCAAACAATGGAAGTTTGAACTCGGAAAGTTTGGGCAGCATCTATGGTGGCCCGGGCAACATCTATTTCAATATTGATTATGTGAAAGTCATCTACTAAAGCAAGGTTGGTGTAAGAGTTGATGATGAGAACATTGTTCCAAGACCTTCAGTGAGTTATGATGATGTCCCTTAATAGCAATGTAGTATTAGGTTATATAGTTACCGATGATTATTTGTATTTGACATTTTATGCAATGAATTATCTTACATATTTATTGTATTTTATTTTGTATCTTGTATGACATTAATTTTTGTGCAATGGATTGTATTTTTTGTATAAGGTGTTTTATTTCTATTATGAGAAATTAAATGCAAATTTAATTTAAAAATTGATAAATATATAAAATTATTTTTTAAAACATTTAAAATTACGATACGCAAAAATGTGTGTCATCTGCATTTATGACATGGCCTTTCTTGACAGGGGCTTTCTTGATACACATTGCGTGTCATTAACACGCGCGTCGTAAGGTTATGACACACGAACGCATGTTGTCTTCCTTTATGACAGGGCCTTCCTTGATACACATTGCGTGTTGTAAACGCGCGTCGTAAAAGCGCGTCGTCTCTCTTTATGACAGTGCCTTCCTTAACGCGCATTTGCGCGTCGTCTGAGCCTTTTACGACGCGCAATGAGCATCGTAAAAGGCTGTTTTCTAGTAGTGCCCCCAACTATTTTACAATACCCAATACACAAGATTTATTTCGAGACGAAACTATTTCAACTATAGAAGAATGTAACACCAGTCAAAATAGGTCAACAATAATCACATTTGATTATGTGAAACAAGTAATTTAATATACTTACTTTGTAGTTCATCAAAATATTCTAATCCATATATGAACTTTCATACCTACCTTATAGTATAACTCAAAGTACATGTCCATAAAAATATATAGACCGTCTAAATCTGACATTGTGTGAAGAAGTTATGATAAACTTTAACACTATAAATCTTTATAATTAAAGAACTTAAAATATAGCGAGATTTAGCTATACGAATCTAAAAAGAGAGTTGTAGTAGTCGGAAACGCGTGGAGATAAAGAACGTCAAAAACAAAGTTCATATGCTAAAGTTATGAGCTTTCGAAGATGTAGTAGTCTAAGAGCATGACACGTGGTAGAAACTCTACTCAACCATGCTCCACGACATGAACATGAGGTTCACGATGTGGATGTGATCTAGGACACTTCTCAAGGCTTGAATGCATATGGCAAGTCTACGGAAGTGATGTATTAAGTCTCCACGACGTGGACATAAAGGTTAGGGCGTTATGTGCAATGTTGTTATTACTGGATTTATGTTAACATAAAACATGGTATGTTATTAATATAGTCCTGAAGTTACATTCGGGTGTTCTATATATACTTTCTAAGTATATTGTTATTATTGTTTTTATGTTAAATAAAACTTGGTTTTACTTCAAATTATAGTTGTTGTATTTCCTAAGTATTATGAAATTAGGAGTAATGTTTAAACGCATAGTCTAGTAACGTAGGAGTTTAGACATGAAAATGATTTTGATGTTAGGATTATAGGATACTGACAAAGTCTACATGAGCTATTGTATTCATCAACTAAGATTAGGGATCTTAGGGGAAATCCTCTAACCTATAACCATTAATCTTGTGTGAGCAAGGAAGTCGTGTACAATTATACGGGTTGAGAACCCTACTCGTGATTGTTAGCTACAACCCAAATTTTGGCAAGTGACAAATAGTCCTCTTATTTTTTTGTTGATTCGGCATTGATAAATCGCGTGGTGCTGTATATTGAGGAAATCCTAAGTGGTACCCAAGGCTTTGTGGTATCAATGGTGGTAATTCTTTATGGGACCATTGGTAGGATTTATTTTGTCATAGGTATTGTATTTCATACCAGCAGTTACAAACTCATGATAGAAAATTGTTAGAAACATTATACTTTGTCCTTCTTCAAGTATTAATGTTACGTATAAGTTTCCCCAATACTTATACTCTAGGTACAAGTAATTTTTAGGTAAACTACTTATTTAATAAGTAAACTATTATACCTAGGATATATACTAAATATTGGAGATAAGTATGAGTCAGAATGACACTTTCAAACTATATTTTATACTTTTTGAACTTTGAAAAAGTACTATTTTACTTGGAGTCAAAGCCTATGGACTCACCAAATTTATGTTGACATATTTTCAAAAGGCATGTGTTTTTAGGAACTTGATAAGTTGGAATGTTACTCCAACAATAGAAGTTTTATAGTTATCCTCTCTGTTCGTATGGAATATATATATATATATATATATATATATATATATGTATGTATATATATATATAAAGACATGTGCGGTAATTCATATACTAGGTAATAATCATTAAGAAACAAGAATAATATAAATTTCTATCATCAATAAAGGTATGTAATTTATATAATTCTTTTGTACTGTTCAATGTATGTTATATAACTGTGCTACAAAGACGAAGTTAAACCATCCAGTTATTTCCGCCACCGACCAAGGTGTGAAACATGTATTCATGAATTCACTCTTTGTTTGGAATCCCTTCTTCATATTGCATGAATCGGTGTAAATTCACCTTGAATGTTGACCAATCTTTGTTCCATAGCTCAATCACTCCATATGGATGCACTTACTTTATCTTAAATGGCCCGGACCAGCATGTGCATAGTTTTCCAGGAAAAAGCTTCATCCTTGAGTTGTAAAGGAGAACTTTTTGACCCGCCTCAAAGTCTTTGTTACCTTTCAGCCTTAAATCATGCCACTTTTTTTGTATTGTCCTTATAAATCAATAAGTTTGTGTATGAACTATTTCTCAACTCTTCCAAGGCATTCATTTGCAAGAGCTGGTTGGTGCGCAATACACTCGGTTCGAAGTTACATGTCTTTAAGGCCAAATCTGCTTTGTACTCAAGTTACACCGGTAGATGATAGTTCTTTCCATACACTAACCTGTAAGGCATTGTCCCAATGGGTGTATTGAATGCGGTACAAAGCGCCCAAAGCGCATTATCGAGTTTTCCCGCCTAATCTTTTCTATTTCTACCCACTGACCTTTCCAAGATTCTTTTCAAAGCCCAATTCGTGATCTCAGTTTTCCCATTCGTTTGAGGATGATATGGAGTAGAAAAGCTATGGTGTACACCATACTTTTGTAATAACTTTCTAGTTGAACATTAGCAAAATGGTTCCCCTTTCACTTATAAGTGCTCTTGGCACTCCAAATCTAGAAAATATTCTTTTCAAAAACTTCACATCTACCAGTACATCATTGGTGGGTAATGTTTGCACTGCTACCCACCTGGAAACATAATCAATTGTCATAAGGATGTATTTATTTTCCCTATAGACGATGGGAATGGTCCCATAAAATCTATGCCCCATACATCAAACACCTCACAGACTTGGATATTCGTTTGTGGCATCTCATTTCTTGCATATATATTCCCCGATCATTGGCATGAGTCACAGTCCTTCACACAGATGGTAGCATCCTTGAAGATCATTGTTTAGTAGAAACCTACATCAAATACCTTCTTGGATGAGTATTGAGCTCCCTGATGTCCTCCTGCTTTGCCATTTTGACGATGCTTCAATTTATCATGAATCTCCCTTCCAAACACGCATCTTCTAATAATACCATCTGTATAACTTCTAAAAAGATAAGGCTCATCGAAGAAATAGCATTTGATTTCTGAGAAGGGCTTTTTCTTCTGCTGGTGACTAAGCCCTTTGGGAAGAAAACTGATTGCCAAGAAGTTTGCAATGTCGACATACCAAGGCTCTTCCCTTACTACCATCATCAAATATTCCTCTGGGAACTCATCTTGAATTCCATGGTTCTCCATCTCTTTCTTTTCTAGGTTTTCCAATGTGGATAAGTGGTCGGCTGCTACCTTATCCATTCCTTTCTTGTCCTTGACCTTGATGTCAAATTCATAAAGTAAAAGCACCCATCAGATCAGTCTTGGTTTTGCATCATGCTTGGAAAAAAAATATTTAATAGTAGAATGGTCAGTAAAAACAATGGTTTTGGACAAAATAAGGTAGGGACGAAACTTTTCAAAGGCATAAACAACGTCTAGTAGCTCTTTTTCAGTAGCAGTGTAAATTTCTTGGTTCGGGTTTAAGGTCTTGCTTGCATAGTTGATGGGTTGCAACTGCTTATCAAGCATTTGACCAAGCTCGCTCGTAGCATAGTTGATGGGTTGCAACTGCTTATCAAGCATTTGACCAAGCACGCTCGTAAAGCATAGTCACTAGCATCGTACATTATTTCAAAGGGTAAGTTCTAATTCGGGGGGATAATGATCGGGGCATTAGTCAAATTTTCTTTTTAAATCTCAAAAGCTTCTGAGCATTATTTAGAAAAATTGAAGGGTGCATCTTTTAAGAGTAGTTGAGTCAAAGGCCTTGTTATTTTCAAAAAATCTTTAATAAAACGGCGGTAAAATCCCGCGTGACCTAAAAAACTCCTAACACCATTCACATTCGTTGGTGGCGGTAACTTAGCAATAGTATTGATCTTTGCTCGATCCACCTCAATCCCCAATTTGGACACGTTATAACCTAAAACAATTCCTTCCTTCAACATGAAATGGCATTTTTCCCAATTCAAAACTAAATTGGTTTTTTCTCACCAAGAAAGGATCAAATCAAGGTTAGAAAGACAATCATAAAAAGAAGATTCAAAGACAAAAAAGTTGTCCATAAAGACTTCAATAAAATTTTCCAGCATGTCATGGAATATAGCCATCATGCATCGTTGAAAAGAAGCTAACACATCGCATAACCCAAAAGGCATGTGTCGATATGCAAATATTCCACTTGTATAAATGAATGTCGTCTTCTCTTGATCT